CTTCAAAATAACAGCAATAATCACTATTATGGAACATAATGAAATCCATTTTGGGGGATTACATTGTAAGGTTTCCCATCATTAAGTGAATTATGCTTTCTTCTGTTAGACTCAGATATTAGATTATAAATTGCGTCCGAAATGACTCCTCATTCCTTATATAAGTCACTATAAAGCCCTTTGGTCCCTGGTCTAAAGTAGTGCACTACATAGGGAATAGGATGCCATTCTCTGGTCTAAAGTAGTGCACTATATAGGGAATAGGGTGCCATTCTCTGGTCTAAAGTAGTGCACTATATAGGGAATAGGGTGCCATTCTCTGGTCTAAAGTAGTGCACTATATAGGGAATAGGGTGCCATTCTCTGGTCTAAAGTAGTGCACTATATAGGGAATAGGGTGCCATTCTCTGGTCTAAAGTAGTGCACTATATAGGGAATAGGGTACCATTCTCTGGTCTAAAGTAGTGCACTATATAGGGAATAGGGTGCCATTCTCTGGTCTAAAGTAGTGCACTATATAGGGAATAGGGTGCCACTCGGGACACATCCACAGACTTCACCTCACGTCTGTTTTACTCAGTTCAGGGTCGTGACCCACAAATGGGAAACGTGACTCATGATGTTACGGCTACCGTTCCTCTGCTGGGACGTCTTTGTCAGCTCACCTCATGTCATTTAAAATAATTCCTCACAGCGACTGAAAAATATTTCAATTTGTTTCAATCCATGTCCTTCATTATTTCTTACATAACCCTTTTCTTTACCAGGTCGGTTGACTGAGAACACATTTACAGCAACGACCTGGAGAACAGTTACAGGGGAGAGGAGGGGGGATGAATGAGCCAATTGGAAGCTGGGGACGATTAGATGGCCATGATGGTATGAGGGCCAGATTGGGAATTAAGCCAGGACATCGGGGGTTAACATCCCTACTATTACGATAAGATAAGAGCCATGGGATATTTTAGTGACCACAGAGAATCAGGACACCTGTTTAACGTCCCATTCAAAAGACAGCACCCTACACAGGGCAATGTCCCTAATCGCAGCCCTGGGATATTTTTTTAGACCAGAGGACAGAGTGCCTCCTACTGGCCCTCCAACACCACATCCAGCAGCATCTGGTCTCCCATCCAGGGACCAACCAGCACCAACCCTGCTTAGTTTCAGAGGAAGCCAGCAGTGGGATGCAGGGTGGTATGCTGCTGGTTCCTTGAACCTCCTCACAGCGACTGAAAAATAATTCAATTCCAACATACCTCTCATTATTGATAGAAAGAGAGCATTTACCCCTTTCCTGATCCGCACACAGACAGAAGACTCTTCTACCCACAATACCTTGGTGCTAATAGAAACGCATTTGACTTTTGACCTCTCGGAGGGGGAGGAGTTGTTCCATAGTTTCCATGGTTTCCGCCAGGCAGTTGTTGTTGGGGATCTCTCCCATTTGTTGCTCATCCCTTCCTCCTCTTGTATAACAAGCTGCTCTCGTCCCTGACTCCAAACGGTTGAATAAATCACCCCATCTCCTCAAGTCTCCTCAGAAAGCTGTGAAGAAGCAGTTATTTAACACTTGTGTATAAGTCGTGTATTTCAAAAGTTATAAAACAGATGTGTGTTTAACTCACTGTTATCAGGGGTGAAACCTGGATAAAACAAAACGAAAAACCTTTAAAAAGAAGAAGAAAGTTATATCTTAAATTTTCCTTGAAAACCTCTACTACTATATCATTCTGTTGATCTCCTCCCCTCCTTGATCTCTCTCTGTCCATCTCCTCTTCTCCTTGATCTCTCTGTCTGTTTTGCTACAACCTCCTCGTGGCAAATAGTCTCAGTCCTCTACCTCTGATAGCAGATACAAGCACCAGTCACCAGGCAGACACTGGGCTAGTCAAACCAAACGGGCAGAGCTGACACGACTAAAACCCAAAGCGCATGCAGCTGTGAAACCATATCACTACTTGGTAACAACGCAGACCTCATAATAAATAAAAAACCTAAATGAATTAAGATGAAGAAAATGAAGAAAAAAAACGTTTTTAACGTTCCTTTATTGCCATGTTTATATTAGAATTACAGAGTTTGATTTGTTGAGTACAGCATATTACATTTTAAATTGTTGATGCTGATTTTAAAAGGAAGGTGTTTTGACTCAAGCAGTGGTCACAGTCGATGAGAAACCACATTTTTCTCTCTTTCTCCCCCTCTCCTCTCCTTCTACCTTGTCATTTTCTCTGTTGTAAGACCTGCTAGACCGCTTGTCAATGTTGGTTAGGTTGAACTCATGGGGTTTCAATTACAAAGAATTAAAGGCTAGTGAATTTTACGCATGCCTGTTTTTGACAATTTGTATCAGGGGGAAATTTGATTTTTATTTAACTATGTGTAAAAACGTGGGAAATAGGGAGGGGTGGGGTCAGTTGGAATAAGGAGGGGTGGGGTCAGTTGGAATAAGGAGGGGTGGGGTCAGTTGGAATAAGGAGGGGTGGGGTCAGTTGGAATAAGGAGGGGTGGGGTGAGTTGGAATAAGGAGGGGTGGGGTCATTTGGAATAAGGAGGGGTGGGGTCAGTTGGAATAAGGAGGGGTGGGGTCAGTTGGAATAAGGAGGGGTGGGGTGAGTTGGAATAAGGAGGGGTGGGGTCATTTGGAATAAGGAGGGGTGGGGTCAGTTGGAATAAGGAGGGGTGGGGTCAGTTGGAATAAGGAGGGGTGGGGTCAGTTGAAGAGCAAAAAGATGACATGACTTCAGGATGGGACATAAGGGTGGGAGATGGGGGGGTTGGGTTGGGGTCTCTGAGAAAATGTTATTGTGAAAAAAATGATTTAAAGTTATTGTGCAATACTTAACAGAGACAGGAACCACATGTTATAATGTTAGACGGACACTGACAGGGATAGTATCTCTCAGTTATACCCTACAGCATTCTGAGTCTACTATGTCAGAACGGTGGGCTCTCTGTTTTCTTGTCTTTTTTTACTTAATTTGGGGCTGTAATCTATGGTCTGTCAGGCTGTAATCTATGGTCTGTCAGGCTGTAATCTATGGTCTGTCAGACTGTAATCTATGGTCTGTCAGCTGTAATCTATGGTCTGTCAGTCTGTAATCTATGGTCTGTCAGTCTGTAATCTATGGTCTGTCAGGCTGTAATCTATGGTCTGTCAGTCTGTAATCTATGGTCTGTCAGTCTGTAATCTATGGTCTGTCAGTCTGTAATCTACGGTCTGTCAGGCTGTAATCTATGGTTTTTCAGTCTGTAATCTATGGTCTGTCAGTCTGTAATCTATGGTCTGTTGTCTGTAATCTATGGTTGTCAGCCGTAATCTATGGTCTGTCAGTCTGTAATCTATGGTCTGTCAGGCTGTAATCTATGGTCTGTTCAGGCCGTAATCTATGGTCTGTCAGGCTGTAATCTATGGTCTGTCAGGCTTGTAATCTAATGGTCTGTCAGACTGTAATCTATGGTCTGTCAAGCTGTAATCTATGGTCTGTCAGTCTGTAATCTATGGTCTGTCAGTCTGTAATCTATGGTCTGGTCAGGCTGTAATCTATGGTCTGTCAGTCTGTAATCTATGGTTGTCAGTCTGTAATCTATGGTCTGTCAGTCTGTAATCTACGGTCTGTCAGGCTGTAATCTATGGTTTTTCAGTCTGTAATCTATGGTCTGTCAGTCTGTAATCTATGGTCTGTTAGTCTGTAATCTATGGTTTGTCAGGCCGTAATCTATGGTCTGTCAGGCTGTAATCTATGGTCTGTCAGGCCGTAATCTATGGTCTGTCAGGCCGTAATCTATGGTCTGTCAGGCTGTAATCTATGGTCTGTCAGGCTGTATCTATGGTAGTCAGGTAATCTATGGTCTGTCAGGCTGTAATCTATGGTCTGTCAGGCTGTAATCTATGGTCTGTCAGGCTGTAATCTATGGTCTGTCAGGCTGTAATCTATGGTCTGTCAGGCCGTAATCTATGGTCTGTCAGGCTGTAATCTATGGTCTGTCAGGCTGTAATCTATGGTCTGTCAGGCTGTAATCTATGGTCTGTCAGGCTGTAATCTATGGTCTGTCAGTCTGTAATCTATGGTCTGTCAGGCTGTAATCTATGGTCTGTCAGGCTGTAATCTATGGTCTGTCAGGCTGTAATCTATGGTCTGTCAGTCTGTAATCTATGGTCTGTCAATCTGTAATCTATGGTCTGTCAGTCTGTAATCTATGGTCTTTCAGGCTGTAATCTATGGTCTTTCAGGCTGTAATCTATGGTCTGTCAGTCTGTAATCTATGGTCTGTCAGGCTGTGAATCTTTGCAGTATAATTATGTTATTGTTGTTCTCTTTATTGTGTAATAAATACATTACAATACATTACTACATGCCTCAGACTAGTGCTGTGTTCTGTTTGGGTCAGCCTATTATCCACTTGATAGGGATAACCAACTTATATTGTATTATTATTAGTCTAAACTTGATAGGGATAACCAAATTAGAATCAGTGCAAAAAAGTATGGTAAAAAAGACTAAAATATGGGGATCAATGTAAACAGTGGGTAGATGAACTGTTCAGCAGTCCTATGGCTTAGGGGTAGAAGCTGTTCAGGAGCTTTTTGGTCCCAGACATGACGCTCCGGTACCACTTGCCGTGCGGCAGCAGAGAGAACAGTCTATGACTTGGGTGGCTGGAGTCTTTGACGATTTTTAGGGCCTTCCTCTGACACCACCTGGTATAGAGGTCCTGGGTGGTCTGTCAGTGGCCCCATATACACTGAGTGAAGTTAGGGAGGAGATGAGGTGGCTGCCTGCCCCATATATACTGAGTGAAGTTAGGGAGGAGATGAGGTGGCTGTTTACCCCATATACAGTGAGTGAAGTTAGGGAGGAGATGAGGTGGCTGCCTGCCCCATATACAGTGAGTGAAGTTAGGGAGGAGATGAGGTGGCTGCCTGCCCCATATACAGTGAGTGAAGTTAGGGAGGAGATGAGGTGGCTGCCTGCCCCATATACACTGAGTGAAGTTAGGGAGGAGATGAGGTGGCTGCCTGCCCCATATACAGTGAGTGAGTTAGGGAGGAGATGAGGTGGCTGCCTGCCCCATATACACTGAGTGAAGTTAGGGTGGAGATGAGGTGGCTGTTTACCCCATATACAGTGAGTGAAGTTAGGGAGGAGATGAGGTGGCTGCCTGCCCCATATACAGTGAGTGAAGTTAGGGAGGAGATGAGGTGGCTGCCTGCCCCATATACACTGAGTGAAGTTGGGGAGGAGATGAGGTGGCTGTTTGCCCCATATACACTGAGTGAAGTTGGGGAGGAGATGAGGTGGCTGTTTGCCCCATATACACTGAGTGAAGTCAGGGAGGAGATGAGGTTGCTGTTTGCCCCAGATACACTGAGTGAAGTCAGGGAGGAGATGAGGTGGCTGTTTGCCCCATATACACTGAGTGAAGTTAGGGAGGAGATGAGGTGGCTGCCTGCCCCATATACACTGAGTGAAGTTAGGGAGGAGATGAGGTGGCTGTTTGCCCCATATACACTGAGTGAAGTCAGGGAGGAGATGAGGTGGCTGCCTGCCCCATATACACTGAGTGAAGTTAGGGAGGAGATGAGGTGGCTGTTTGCCCCATATACACTGAGTGAAGTCAGGGAGGAGATGAGGTGGCTGTTTGCCCCATATACACTGAGTGAAGTTAGGGAGGAGATGAGGTGGCTGCCTGCCCCATATACACTGAGTGAAGTTAGGGAGGAGATGAGGTGGCTGTTTGCCCCATATACACTGAGTGAAGTCAGGGAGGAGATGAGGTGGCTGCCTGCCCCATATACACTGAGTGAAGTCAGGGAGGAGATGAGGTTGCTGTTTGCCCCAGATACACTGACTGAAGTCAGGGAGGAGATGAGGTGGCTGTTTGCCCCATATACACTGAGTGAAGTTAGGGAGGAGATGAGGTTGCTGTTTGCCCCAGATACACTGAGTGAAGTTAGGGAGGAGATGAGGTTGCTGTTTGCCCCAGATACACTGAGTGAAGTCAGGGAGGAGATGAGGTGGCTGTTTGCCCCATATACACTGAGTGAAGTTAGGGAGGAGATGAGGTTGCTGTTTGCCCCAGATACACTGAGTGAAGTCAGGGAGGAGATGAGGTGGCTGTTTGCCCCATATACACTGAGTGAAGTCAGGGAGGAGATGAGGTTGCTGTTTGCCCCAGATACACTGAGTGAAGTCAGGGAGGAGATGAGGTGGCTGCCTGCCCCATATACAGTGAGTGAAGTTAGGGAGGAGATGAGGTGGCTGCCTGCCCCATATACAGTGAGTGAAGTTAGGGAGGAGATGAGGTGGCTGCCTGCCCCATATACACTGAGTGAAGTTAGGGAGGAGATGAGGTGGCTGTCTGCCCCATATACAGTGAAGGAAAATATTATTTGATCCCCTGCTAATTTTGTACGTTTGCCCACTGACAAAGAAATGATCAGTCTATAATTTTAATGGTAGGTTTATTTGAACAGTGAGAGACAGAATAACAACAAAACAATCCAGAAAAACGCATGTCAAAAATGTTATAAATTGATTTGCATTTTAATGAGGGAAATAAGTATTTGACCCCCTCTCAATCAGAAAGATTTCTGGCTCCCAGGTGTCTTTTATACAGGTAACGAGCTGAGATTAGGAGCACACTCTTAAAGGGAGTGCTCCTAATCTCAGTTTATTACCTGTATAAAAGACACCTGTCCACAGAAGCAATCAATCAATCAGATTCCAAACTCTCCACCATGGCCAAGACCAAAGAGCTCTTCAAGGATGTCAGGGACAAGATTGTAGACCTACACAAGGCTGGAATGGGCTACAAGAACATCGCCAAGCAGCCCAGAACTACACGGGAGGATCTTGTCAATGATCTCAAGGCAGCTGGGACCATAGTCACCAAGAAAACAATTGGTAACACACTACACCGTGAAGGACTGAAATCCTGCAGTGCCCGCAAGGTCCCCCTGCTCAAGAAAGCACATATACAGGGCCGTCTGAAGTTTGCCAATGAACATCTGAATGATTCAGAGGAGAACTGGGTGAAAGTGTTGTGGTCAGATGAGACCAAAATGGAGCTCTTTGGCATCAACTCAACTCGCCGTGTTTGGAGGAGGAGGAATGCTGCCTATGACCCCAAGAACACCATCCCCACCGTCAAACATGGAGGTGGAAACATTATGCTTTGGGGGTGTTTTTCTGCTAAGGGGACAGGACAACTTCACAGCATCAAAGGGACGATGGACGGGGCCATGTACCGTCAAATCTTGGGTGAGAACCTCCTTCCCTCAGCCAGGGCATTGAAAATGGGTTGTGGATGGGTATTCCAGCATGACAATGACCCAAAACACACGGCCAAGGCAACAAAGGAGTGGCTCAAGAAGAAGCACATTAAGGTCGTGGAGTGGCCTAGCCAGTCTCCAGACCTTAATCCCATAGAAAATCTGTGGAGGGAGCTGAAGGTTCGAGTTGCCAAAACGTCAGCCTCGAAACCTTAATGACTTGGAGAATATCTGCAAAGAGGAGTGGGACAAAATCCCTCCTGAGATGTGTGCAAACCTGGTGGCCAACTACAAGAAACGTCTGACCTCTGTGATTGCCAACAAGGGTTTTGCCACCAAGTACTAAGTCATGTTTTGCAGAGGTGTCAAATACTTATTTCCCTCATTAAAATGCAAATCAATTCATAAAATTTTTGACATGTGTTTTTCTGGATTTTTTTGGTGTTATTCTGTCTCTCACTGTTCAAATAAATCTACCATTAAAATTATAGACTGATCATGTCTTTGTCAGTGGGCAAACGTACAAAATCAGCAGGGGATAAAATACTTATTTCCCTCACTGTACACTGAGTGAAGTTAGGGAGGAGATGAGGTGGCTGTTTGCCCCATATACACTGAGTGAAGTTAGGGAGGAGATGAGGTGGCTGTTTGCCCCATATACACTGAGTGAAGTTAGGGAGGAGATGAGGTGGCTGTTTGACCCATATACACTGATTGAAGTTAGGGAGGAGATGATGTGGCTGTTTACCCCATATACACTGAGTGAAGTTAGGGAGGAGATGAGGTGGCTGTTTACCCCATATACACTGATTGAAGTTAGGGAGGAGATGAGGTGACTGTTTACCCCATATACACTGATTGAAGTTAGGGAGGAGATGAGGTGGCTGTTTGCCCCATATGCACTGAGTGAAGTCAGGGAGGAGATTAGGTGGCTGTTTACCCCATATACACTGAGTGACGTTAGGGAGGAGATGAGGTGGCTGTTTGACCCATATGCACTGAGTGAAGTCAGGGAGGAGATGAGGTGGCTGTTTGCCCCATATACACTGAGTGAAGTCAGGGAGGAGATGAGGTGGCTGTTTGCCCCATATACACTGAGTGAAGTTAGGGAGGAGATGAGGTTGCTGTTTGCCCCATATACACTGAGTGAAGTTAGGGTGGAGATGAGGTGGCTGTTTGCCCCATATACACTGAGTGAAGTTAGGGAGGAGATGAGGTGGCTGTCTGCCCCATATACACTGAGTGAAGTTAGGGAGGAGATGAGGTTGCTGTCTGCCCCATATACACTGAGTGAAGTTAGGGAGGAGATGAGGTGGCTGTTTGCCCCATTTACACTGAGTGAAGTCAGGGAGAAGATGAGGTGGCTGTCTGCCCCATATACACTGAGTGAAGTCAGGGAGAAGATGAGGTGGCTGTTTGCCCCATATACACTGATTGAAGTTAGGGAGGAGATGAGGTGGCTGTTTACCCCATATACACTGAGTGAAGTTAGGGTGGAGATGAGGTGGCTGTTTGCCCCATATACACTGAGTGAAGTTAGGGAGGAGATGAGGTGGCTGTTTACCCCATATACACTGAGTGAAGTTAGGAGGAGATGAGGTGGCTGTCTTGCCCCCATATACACTGAGTGAAGTCAGGGAGGAGATTGAGGTGGCTGTTTACCCTACTACACTGAGTGATAGGGAGGAGATGAGGTGGCTGTTTGACCCATATACACTGAGTGAGTCAGGGAGGAGATGAGGTGGCTGTTTGCCCCATATACTGTGAAGTTAGGGAGGAGATGAGGTGGCTGTTTACCCCATACATGAGTGAAGTTAGGGAGGAGATGAGGTGGCTGTTTGCCCCATACTACTGAGTGAAGTTAGGGAGGAGATGAGGTGGCTGTTTACCCTATACACTGAGTGAACAGTGGGAGGATGAGATGAGGTGGCTGTTTACCCTCATACATTAGTGAGTTAGGGAGGGAGGGTGGCGTTGCTTTACCTACGTAACATAGGGAGAGATGAGGTGGCTGTTTACCCTACATGAACATAGGGAGGAGATGAGGTGGCTGTTTCCCTACTAACATTGGGAGGAGAGATGGTGGCTGTTTACCCTATAACAGTGAAGGGGAGGAGATGAGGTGGCTGTTTGCCCTACATGGTGAAGTTAGGGAGGAGATGAGGTGGCTGTTTCCCTATCAGTAATTAGGGAGGAGATGAGGTGGCTGTTTCCCTATAACTGAGTGGTGGAGGAGATGAGGTGGCTGTTTGCCCATTTACACTGATGAGTCAGGGAGAGATGAGGTGGCTGTCGCCATATACACTGAGTGAAGTCAGGGAGAAGATGAGGTGGCTGTTTGCCCCATACACTGATTGAAGTTAGGGAGGAGATGAGGTGGCTGTTTACCCCATATACACTGAGTGAAGTTAGGGTGGAGATGAGGTGGCTGTTTGCCCCATATACACTGAGTGAAGTTAGGGAGGAGATGATGTGGCTGTTTACCCCATATACACTGAGTGAAGTCAGGGAGGAGATGAGGTGGCTGTTTACCCTACATAACATTAGGGAGGAGATGAGGTGGCTGTTTACCCTACGTAACATTAGGGAGGAGATGAGGTGGCTGTTTACCCTACGAACATACGGGGCACAGCCTTAGCGCCGCCCTCAACTTCCGGACTAATCTCCGTGCTGTTGTGCTTTCTGTTGCTACTTGGCTATCTGCCAAACGTTTTGGATTTTACTTTTAATACGTTTATTAACGTCTTAGTTTTTTCCACACTCAACTTTTTTCATTTTACTTTTTCACCCTTTCTCTGGACGTGGTTCTACAGGACCTCCACCAGCCGAAGCTAAGTAGTAACATTAACACTATGCCATCTAATTGCAGTCGTTGTACTCATAACATACAGGAGAACTATCGCCTTATGGTGAGGATAGCCGTGCTGCAAGCCCAGCTTCAGATTCAACCGTTAGGCAACGGCAATGTAAGTGTAGGAAAGGATGAAACAGCGTCTGTGCCACCAGTAAGTACAGATAGTAGTATAAATCCCCCCCGCACAGTCCCCGCAGCCGGACAATTTTCTCAAGGCTTCTGGAAAGAAATGCTGTCGGCATGCTCAACCGGTTTCGCTCATTCAGCCAACAGAAACTTTCAACCGGTTCTCCCCATTAAGCAACGAGTCGGAGTCTGAGGCCGAGCCTTCTCAGGGCTCTCCTCCACCCGTTACGGGGTCTGAGCCACCGAAGCCTCCCACCATTAGCTCTGACTAATTGAAAACCCTAGTCATTGGCGACTCCATTACCCACAATATTAGAAAAAAAAATCCCCAGGGGGGCTTAAAAGTTTTTGGGGGGGCGGGCACCGAAAGGCTCAAATTGTCTAAAAAAATTGAAAGTAAGGGATTTTTTACCCCCCAAAAAAAAGAGTTAGGGAAAAAATTTTTAAAGGGCACCAAAAGAAATAACTTAAGGGGAAAAAGCTAAAAAAAAGGTATGGAAATTGTTCGGCCCCACCCAGTTGGGGGAAAGTTAAAGCCCCCAAAGGCATATTTCCCCTGCCCCCCCAGTTAGGGGGGATGGGCTCCCAAAGAAAATGTCTCTGGCCCCCCCAGTTAGGGGAGTGTGAGCTCTACACAGAAAATTTCTCTGGCCCCCCCAGTTGGGGGGGAGTGATGACTCAAACCCCAGTAATTTCTCTGGCCCCCCCCGTTGGGGGGGATTGAGGCTCACAGCAGTAATTGTCTCTGGCCCCCCGTTAGGGGGGGGAAATGAGGCCTACAGCAAATTTGTTCTGGCCCCCCCTTGGGGGGAGGAGGATGGCTCTACAGCAGTAATTGTCTCCTTGGCCCCTCCCAGTTAGGGGGAGGAGTGATGAGCTCTACAGCAGTAATTGTCTCTGCCCCCCCCAGTTAGGGGGAGTGTGAGCTCACAGCAGTAATGGCTCTGCCCCCCACCCCAGTTAGGGGTAGGAGTGGTGAGCTCTACAGCAGTAATTGTCTCTGGCCCCTCCAGTTAGGGGGAGGAGTGATGAGCTCTACAGCAGTAATTGTCTCTGGCCCCTCTCAGTTAGGGGGGGAGTGATGAGCTCTACAGCAGTAATTGTCTCTGGCCCCTCCCAGTTAGGGGGAGTGATGAGCTCTACAGCAGTAATTATCTCTGGCCCCTCCCAGTTCGGGGGAGTGGTGAGCTCTACAGCAGTAATTATCTCTGGCCCCTCCCAGTTTAGGGGAGTGGTGAGCTCTACAGCAGTAATTGTCTCTGGCCCCTCCCAGTTAGGGGGGGAGTGGATGAGCTCTACAGCAGTAATGTCTCTGGCCCCTCCCAGTTAGGGGAGGAGTGATGAGCTCTACAGCAGTATTGGTCTCTGGCCCCTCCCCAGTTAGGGGGAGGAGTGATGAGCTCTACAGCAGAGTAATTGTTCTCTGGCCCCTCCAGTTAGGGGGAGTGATGAGCTCTACAGTCTCACAACTCAATCACTGGTTGAAAAAACTATTTCTGCCCCTCCCAAAAGATTAGAATTTGTAGATAATTGGCTCTTTTTTCTGGGACTCACCCACAAAACAGGACCAAGCCTGGCCTGCTGAGGAGTGATGGACTCCATCCTAGCTGGCAGGGGTGCTACAGGACCAGCCTGGCCTGTCTGAGGAGTGATGGACTCCATCCTAGCTGGAGGGGTGTGCTACAGGACCAAGCCTGGCCTGCTGAGGAGTGACGGACTCCATCCTAGATGGAGGGGTGCTACAGGACCAAGCCTGGCCTGCTGAGGAGTGATGGACTCCATTCCTAGCTGGAGGGGTGCTACAGCCAAGCCTGGCCATGCTGAGGAGTGATGGACTCCATCCTAGCTGGAGGGTGCTACAGGACCAAGCCTGGCCTGCTGAGGGAAGTGATGGACTCCATCCTAGCTGGAGGGGTGCTACAGGACCAAGCCTGGCCATGCTGAGGAGTTGATGGACCCATCCTAGCTGGAGGGGTGCTCTATCTTATCTACCAACATAGACAGGGCTCTAACTCCTCTAGCTCCACAATGAGACAGGGTGCAGGCCAGGCAGCAGGCTGTTAGCCAGCCCAATGAGACAGGGTGCAGGCCAGGCAGCAGGCTGTTAGCCAGCCTGACAGCTTAGTGGAGTCTGCCCCTAGCACAGTCAGTGTAGTCAGCTCAGCTATCCCCATTGAGACCGTGTCTGTGCCTCGATCTAGGTCGGGGCAAAACTAAACATGGCGGTGTTCGCTTTAGCAATCTCACTGGAATAAAGACCTCCTCCATTCATGTCATTATTGAAAGAGATTGTGATATCTCACATCTCAAAATAGGGCTAATTAATGTTAGATCCCTCACTTAATAATAATAATAATAATATGCCATTTAGCAGACGCTTTTATCCAAAGCGACACTTCCAAGGCAGTCATAGTCAATGAACTAATCACTGATCATAATCTTGATGTGATTGGCCTGACTGAAACATGGCTCAAGCCTGATGAATTGACTGTGTTAAAAGAGGCCTCTCCTCCTGGTTACACTAGTGACCATATCCCCCGCGCATCCCCTAAAGGCGGAGGTGTTGCTAACATTTACAACAGCAAATTTCAATTTAAGAACAAAAAAAAAGACAGCGTTTTAGTCTTTTGAGCTTCTCGTCATGAAATCTATGCAGCCTCCTCAATCACTTTTTATAGCTACTGTTTACAGGCCTCCTGGGCCGTATACAGAGTTCCTCACTGAGTTCCCTGAATTCCTATCGGACCTTGTAGTCATGGCAGATAATATTCTACTTTTTGGTGACTTTAATATTCACATGGAAAAGTCCACACACCCACTCCAAAAGGCTTTCGGAGCCATCATCGACTCAGTGGGTTTTGTCCAACATGTCTCCGGACCTACTCATTGCCACAGTCATACCCTGGATCTAGTTCTGTTCCGTGGAATAAATATTGTGGATCTAAATGTTTTTCCTCATAATCCTGTACTATCAGACCACCATCTTATTACATTTGCAATCGCAACAAATAATCTGCTCAGACTCCAACCAAGGATCATCATTTGCTCCCTGGTATACAGAAAATACCAGAGCCCTGAAGGAAGCTTCCAGAAAATCAGAATGGAAACGGCGCT